AGGTGGGCGACTTTAAAATCAGGATCTCCTCCGTAGCTAATAGCAATTCCCACCTTAGAGTTTACAAAGACTTATGGGTAGAAAAGCCACACTAAGTAATTTACTACACCGCAGGTAGTATTTACATTTTGTCAGTGTTTGATCTTCCTATCCACAAGCATGGTACGTTCTTCCATTTATATAGAACTCTTAAGATTTCTTGTAGTGTTTTGTAGTTTTCTTTGTGCAGGTCTTTTGTGTCCCTGTTAAGATTTATTCCCAACTATTTTATCTTTTTGGTAGTTATTGTAGATGGTATTGATTTCCTTATTTCCTTTTCACCAGTCTCTTTGCTGGTGTAGAGGAATCCATCTGATTTTTGTACGTTGATCTTGTTAATACTATGCTGAATCTCTCAGTTCTTGTAGGGTTTTTTTGTTTGTTTGTTTGTTTTTTTTAACCTTCAGTCTCTTGGGTTTTCTATGTATAGGATCATATCATCAGCAAATAAGATAGTTTGACTTCTTCCTTACCAAGTTGGATGCCTTTTATTTCTCTTTCTTGCCTTAGTGCCCTGCCTAAGACTTCCAGTACAATGTTGAATAGAAGTGGCGATAGAGGACATCCTTGTCTGGTTCCTGTTCGCAAGGGGAATGGTTTCAGTCTCTCTCCACTGAGAATAATGTTGGCTATTGGTTTTGCATAGATGCCCTTTATTATGTTGAGGAATGTCCGTTCTATTCGTATTTTGCTGGGAGTTTTTAATAGGGATGTGTGTTGGATTTTATCAAATGACTTTTCTGCATCGATTGATAAGATCATGAGGTTCTTCTCCTTTGTTTTATTTATGTGATGGATGACGTTGGTTGTTTTATTTTAATGTTGAACCATACTTGCATACCTGGTATGAACCCCACTGGTCATAATGTATTATTTTTTTGATATGTTGTTGGAGTCTGTTGGCTAGGATTTTGTTGAAGATTTTTGCATCTATATTCATGAGGGATATTGGTCTGTAGTTTTCCTTTTTAGTAATGTCTTTGCCTGGTTTTGGTATCAAGGTTATGTTTGCTTCATAAAATGAGTTAGGGAGGATTCCATCCTTTTCTATGGTCTGGAATAGTTTGAGTAGGAATGGTGTCAGTTCTTCTCTGAATGTTTCCTAGAATTCTCTGGTGAAACCATCTGGGCCAGGACTTTTTGTTGTTGTTGGTAATTTTTTTATGACCTGTTCAGTTTCTTCTTTTGTTATGGCTCTGTTCAGATTCTCCACCTCAGTCTGTTAGTTTAGGTATGTAGTATGTTTCTAGAAATCTGTCCATTTCTTCCAGATTTTCAAATTTGATAGAGTACAGTTCTTCATAGTATCCTGCTATGATCCTTTTAATTTCTGTTGGTTCTGTTGTGACGTTGCCCAATTCGTTTCATGTTTGTGTTATTTGCATTCTCTCCCTTTGTTAAATTTGCCAGTTGTATGTCAATTTTATTAATCTTTTCAAAAAAACAATTTCTAGTCTTGATGTCTTTCTATTTTTCATTTATTTCTGCTCAAATCTTTATTATTATTTTTGTTTTGGTGACTGTAGGCTTTTTTGTTGCTCTTTTTTTAACTGTTGGACTTGGGTTAAGGCATTTATTTTGGCACTTTCTTCTTTTTTGATGCATGCATTTATTGGTATAAATTGGCCTCTGATCACTGCTTTGGCTGTATCCCAAAGATTTTGGTGTGTGTGTTTTCATTCTCATTGATTCAAGGAATTTTTTAATTTCATTTTTTATTTCTTCTATTACTGAGTTGTTCTTACAGAGGATGTTATTCATTTTCCATGTGTTTGCTCTTTTTCCGTGGGTCTTGTTATTGTTGATTTCTACTTTGGTAGCATTGTGATCTGAGAAGATGCTTTGCAGTATTTCAGTGTTTTTAAATTTATTAGGGCTTGCTTTGTGATCTAACATAAGGCCTATCCTGGAGAATGTTCTGTGTGCATTGGAGCAGTGGAGCTTTAACTGGAAAAGAATGTATATTGTGCTGTTGTTGGGTGATGTGCTCTGTAGATGTCTATAAGGTCAAATTGGTGGATTGTATTGTTTAGTTCTTCTGCATCTTTGTTGAGTTTCTTTCCAGTTGTTATATCTTTCATTGAAAGTGGTGTATTAAATTCTCCTGCTATGACTGTGTAGTCATCTGTTTGTCTTTTCAGTTCTGTTAAAGTCTGTTTTATGTATTTTGGGGCTCTTTCGTTGGGTACGTAGATAATTATTATAGTTATGTCCTCTTGTTCAATCAATCCTTGAATCATTATATAATATTCATCCTTGTCTCGTATGGTGGTTTTTGTCTTAAAGTCAATATTATCAGAAATTAATATTGCCACTCCTGCTCTTGTTTGATTGACATTTGCTTGGTATATCTTTTTCCAGCCTTTGATTTGTAGTCTATTTTTGTCTTTGTCTCTTAAGATGTAGATCGGTTATGTTTTCTTATCCATTCTGCAACTCTGTCTCTTCATTTTTATATACATCTTTTAATATTGCTAAAATATTATCTCTGGTCTTAATCTGAAAGCAAAAACCTGGAATTCAGGGAATATAATCTTTTAGACGTCAAGAAGTACCAACTATAGGCAGTTGGTTTAAGATAGTAGATCCAACCCTGCTCTCGAACATCTCTTTCTTACCACCTTACCCTAATCCCAACCTTGTCACATCCTGACTTAATTGAAAATGTTGAAATTTTTTGTTGATGGATTTTTTTTTGCATTAATTTTGATTTTGTGTGGTAAAAATACATACAAAACATCTTCCATTTCAACCTTTCTTATGTGTATAGTGCAGTGACATTGTTCATGTTAATTATGTTGGGGAACCATCAGCACTGTTCATTTCCACACTTTTTCATCTTCCTTAGCAGAGGCTCAGTGCTCCTGCTTTCACTCACACCTGCCCCTGGTAACTACTGATAAGATTTGGTCTCTATGACTTTATCTGTACTAAATGTTTCATACAGGTGGGGTCATAGAATATTTTTCCTTTTGTATCTGACTTGCTTCACTTGAGGTGATGTGTTTTCAGGGTTCATCCATGTTGGTAGTAAGTATCAAGATTTTTTTTTTTTTCTTTATGGATGGGTAATATTCCATCGTGTGTAGTGCCTTCATCCATTCATCTTTTGATGGGCATTTGGGTTGTTTCCACCTTTGGGCTATTGTGAATGGTACTACAGTGAACACTGGTACACAAATGTCTGTTTGCATCCTGCTTTCAGATCTTTTGGGTATATACCTAGGAGTGGAATTGCTGGGTAATTCTGTGTTTAACTTTTTGAATAATGATTTTGACTTTTTAAAATATTGCATTAAAATATTACTCATTTTTATTACTAAGTTGTATAATCAACTCAGTATCTCCTTAAAATTTTGTGCCTGGGGCAAGTGCCCCAACCCTCACCCTTATGCCCTGCCCTGACCAAAGGCCAGATTTTACATCTCCTTCCCTTCTGCAAGGGCAGAAAAATGGCTCTTGACTAACTATATGGGATTAATTTGAAAGGTTTCCTAGGAAGCATGGGGGTGGGCGGGGAGGACAGTGAATTTATGTTAATTGGAGAGGAACAATTTGGGGAAAAAGGATGAGAATGGTTGTACAGCTTTAGGAATGTAATCACTGAATCGTGCATGCAGAAACTGTTGAGTTATATATATTCTCTGTATATTTCCAGCAACATTAAAAAAAGAAAATTATTTTTTGATAAAGTATTTAATCAAGGAAGCTTGAAACAGTGATTTTCCAGGGAGAGGAGGAAGACTTGTGTTCTCATTTGGACTTTTTTGAATTCTGTACCATGTGTACATATTGCCTATTGAAATACTTGCTAGAACTAATCAAGATTGTAGTCAATATTCTACCCCACTCTTACTCTGAGGTTGTAAATAATGAAATGGGTTTCTTTTTCCTGCAGCTTCAGATCCTTCCCAGGATCTCCCTTTCAAAACTCCATTGCTTTCACCTGGTTCTTCCACAAGTGGTATCCACACAGCCAAAACACTGTCTGGGTCTGGTACTCCTGAAAACCAGAGACCGAAAGAAGATGCAGTGAAATACCTTGCTTCTAAGGTAATATGCTTTTGTTTTTTGGGAAGCCTTTCAAAGACAGACAGACAGACAAAAATTTGTTAGTTTGGCTTGTGAGAAATATAAAAAGAACTTAGAAATGGAAGTTGCTTAATCCAGAGAGATAGCTTTTGGTAAAATTGTGATAGGCTACTCCAAATAAAAGATGTTAATGAAAATAAAGGTCTCTTTTAAGATACTGGCCGTGGGCTTTTTCTTTCTCAAACAGTGGATTGAAGAACTTCCTCAGAGCAGCAAAATTTATCGTGTACATTCACCACAAATCCATCCTTAAAAAGTATATGCTCTCCATAATTTAGTACGGGAGCCAGATATTTGGAAGCTTTTAACCTCACCCGGACGTCTTCCATCCAGGTCCGTTGCCTGGGGCTCTTGACTCCCTTTGTCTTCTGTCAAAGTTTCTTGTGATGTTGTGAAAGAGATTTGGCTGACTTCTCCTTCAGGGTCATCAAGGTCCTTCTGAAATTTTCCTTCTGCTCAGTATCCATCATTAGTTCATAAATTACCATTCCTGCATGAAAGTGGCAATATCTCTCACTTCTGATGAGCTGCTTGGACCTTCCTTGGCAGTGATGGTGTAAGGCAGTGGAGCTAGAGAACCACCAGGGATGGCCTCAGTGGAGGGGCATTTCTCCCTTGGGTGTGAGGTTGATGAGAAGGGGAACTGAGGGGCATGGTTCTCAGCTTCACATCCCTGCTCCTCCTTCTGCTTCCCAGATCACAGCTGTTCCTCACTTTGCCTGGTTAGCCCTATGGTCTAATCACTGCTTCACAACAGTCATCTAGTCACAATAGAAAACCTCAAACTAAATTCCATTGCCATTGAGTGGATCCCCACTGGTAACAACCCCTTAGGACAGAGTAGAACTGCCCCATGGGGTTTCCAAGGCTGTAAACCTTTAGAGAAGCAGATTACCTCAAACCCCTGACCTTTTGGTTAGCAGCTTGAATGTTTTAACTACTATACCACCAGAGTTCCTGAGTAATAGGTGATCTGAAATGCGGGATATAGTACAAACTTCAGAGCCACTTGATCGTTGAGTCCCTTTTTGCAGCTTACAATGGGAAATACATCTTACACTAAGCCTTTATTTATTTATTTATTTTTTAGCAGCTTAGCACATTAACCACTGTACCACCTAGGAACTCTACATTTTATAATAACACTCTAGTATTTTAAATTCCTTTTACATATTTTTTAAAAATGCTGTTTGTGACTACAGTTTTATTTCATGACCATTCTTGGCTTGCCAGACTAACTTTGTGAAACACCAAGCTAGACTGTGGTGATGGCATCTCCTTGTGGACAGCTGCATGGTGCTTTGTACAAGCTCATGAGTCCTCACTTGAGTTCCTGCTAATCTCTGTACAAGTGAGGGCTGAAGAGCAGACAGCTTTCCTCAAAGTGTTGATGATAAATTTAATCTAAAACAGGAGGCACATGACAGTTTCAAATTGTCCTAAGAAACATTTACCCATATCTACTATTGCTGCTTCGAATCTAGTCTCACATCTTTCACTGACTGTCTGTGTCACCTTGGCAAAGCATTTCACTTCTGTGTCTGTTGCCATGTGCTGTGAACTGTAGCTAGTGGTCCTTGTCCTAGGTTACCACAGAGAAGGTTGTAAAGCTAAGTGGCATGGCAGGGACTCATATGCTTCTGAAAATAAAAAGCACTTTACACAAATGTGTTTTGCCCTTTTTCAACTTCTTACCTCATATTTAAAATTCCGCCTTTCTTCTTCATTTGGAAAAGTATCATTCTTTTCATTCTGTATGTAGTGAACCTCCGGCTCTCAAGATACTTCCATATCTGGCACTTTTTATCGGCTCCATTTTAATTGCGAGAACACTCCTTGTTCTCTCGGTACTTTCGCTGTTACACCAATAGTGAGGAAGGTGCCTTTCTCCTCCTACTTGCCCCTTCATGTTATAGGCAGAAATGTGATGTTTTCGGATTTTCATACTTCAAACAATGTCCCAGCTGAGCTTCTGCATGGTGGCACTTAAAGAAGTGTGGTGGTGTGAAGGGGGCTGAGGGTTTGAGCACTGGCTATCTGTACCTCCTGCCAGAGAAAGAAGCAGCTGTAACTTTACAGCTTGGGTTTATAGTCCACCACCTTTTTCATCTACTTTTTGGGAGCAGCAAAAGGGTTTCTCAAAAAGGTGCTATATTTTTTAAAATAGAAATGGAGTGAGCTTGCCATTTTTTGATGTCAAGAATATTGGGATTGCTTGGAATTGCTTTAAGCCAGAGTAGGCTTTAGGGTTTATGAGTAACTTCATTCATTTATATTCAGTATAGAGTAACCTGTGGTGATCCTAATTCTTATCAAGATTGATTGGTGGCAGCAATTAAAGGTCTGCCTACAGTTTAGCAAACCATGTGACTGAATGAAGGGATACACGAATCAATTAAGCTAAATAATGACTCGGTCTTGGGGAATAGAAGCAATGAATCTTGTGATCTCAGTGAACTGGCAGAACCATGTTTGGATCGAAGAAGAGGGTGGTTGATGCTGATGGCTATGCTTCCCCTTAGGTCGTGGCCTACCACTACTGCCAGGCTGACAACACGTACACATGCTTGGTGCCCGAGTTTGTGCACAGCATCGCAGCTTTGCTCTGCCGGTCCCATCAGCTTGCTGCCTACAGAGACCTTCTGATCAAGGAGCCCCAGCTCCAGAGCATGCTGAGCCTGCGATCCTGTGTGCAGGACCCTGTGGCAGCTTTCAAGAGGGGCGTGCTGGAGCCACTCACAAACCTGAGACACGGTACCTCCAAGCAACCACCCAAAGTCCCCTGCCCCCATTAGTGACACCCAGAATACCTCACAAGCCCTAGAAGTAGGGTAGTCAGCTTTGCTCTGGGGTAGACGTTGGAGGAGGTGGAGTGTGGAGAAGATGTGGATGAATGGATGCAGCTCTCATCCTCTTCCTGAACTGTCTTTGAACAATTCCAAAGTAGCTAATGTGTAACTGTAGTTACTTAGGTGACTTGTACCCTAGGAGACTGTTGCCTGTGTAGTTTGCATTCCTTGGTGATAGGACAAGGGGGAGATAGATTGATTAGGGAAATTGCCACCATATGTTTTCTCAGGACTCCTGCTTGAAATCAAACCAAACCCACTGCCGTGAGACAATTCTAACTCATAGTGACCCTAGAGGACAGGATAGAACTGCCCCATAGAGTTTCCAAGCCTGCAAATCTTTACAGAAGCAGATTGCCTCATCTTCCACTCATAGAGTCACTGTTGGGTTCAAAATGCTGACCTTTTTTTTTTTTTTTTGGCTAGCAGCCGAATGCTTTAACTGCTATGCCGCCAGAGCTCCTTAACTTGAAACCGGTTGAGTTTAAATCTAAAGCCAGTTCTGGAGGTTTCAGCTTCAGTATTGACCCTGAATGTTCTCCAAGGCAAGAGATGCTAATAATATGGGCTCTGTGTTTTCCCATGCTCCCTCTCTTTTGACCTAGTTTACCTGCCAGAAGGTATTTAGAGATAGAGGGGATGGAAACAAGTATGTCATTGCATCTCCTCAGTTGCCTGGGCAGAAGGTTGGCACTGATCAGTAGAAAACTGGTTGCAGGCAGAGCCTTGTTCTGGGAGTCTGTGGAGCTGGGCCCAGTAGCCCTTTGAGGCATCGGTTTTCCTTACTTGAAATCAGTGTGGGAGTTCTAATGGGGGACCAAGTATTCTTTCGAGGCTTGGTATTTTGGGGAGTGCATTATCCTCACTGTTGCTCACTTCAGTGACAGTAGTGTACCACAAGCTAACTGCATTATATACACGAGTGAGATTCTGTGAAAGTGTGCAATGCAATATGTTTCTGAAAACTGTTTTGTGAGAGTTGGTTTTCTTTTGGCTTGATGCTCCAGTTTTCATTATAAATTTAATAGAAAATAAACTTCTGTGAAAACCATTTAATCTGCCATATGTAAACCTTTTTAGTTTTCCCTAACACTTTAAATTGTGCATGAAAATACACTGTATGTTGCCATCTTCTAGAAATGTATAATTTCTTAATTCAAAAAAAATATTTTCTCCTTTAGAGCAGAAAATTCCTGAAGAAGAATACATTATTTTGATAGATGGCTTAAATGAAGCTGAGTTTCATAAACCTGATTATGGAGATACACTTTCTTCATTTATTACCAAAATTATTTCTAAATTTCCTGCCTGGTTGAAGTTGATTGTGACTGTAAGAGCAAATTTTCAGGTAATAGAATTCTCCATTCTCTTTCTAAGTCCCCAATCCCACATTTTGCAGTGATTAGTACCAATAATTTACACTGTTGTAAGCCGTTTAGCTACTCAATTGGAAACTATATTAGGATTTTGAAAAATTAGTCTGCACAGCCCCAAATGGGTGAAATTCTGACCTTTTTTCCTCCCCATAAAGCATATTTATCAAGGTGTCAGGTAAGTTTTCTATTAACATTGAACTGTACCTGAGCTGCTAAAATGGAAGTATCTAGTTTCAGCTTACTGTAATTCAAATTTCTGAAGTGAAACCACTTCAATTCCTCTGACAGTATAGTTTGAGGTGTCTTAGCTAAAAGGTCTAAGATTTTTAAGCTATTCTTAATAGCAGTTATTTGTATGAGATTAGAGTAAAACCAAAAAACCAAACTCGCTGTCATCGAGTTGGATCTGGGTTTCCAAGGCAGTATCACTGTGGAAGTAGATTGCCCAACCTTCATTCTGAGGAGTGACTGGTGGGTTTGAACCACCAGCCTTTTGGTTAGCAGTCAAGTGCCTTAGGCACTATGCCAGCAGGGCTTTTTTTTTTTTTTTTCCCCCTAAAAGGGAAAGTGAAAGAATAAAGGCAAGAGTTTTAAGGCCTGTTCTGAGAGAAGGTCTATTTTTGGCATGACTGAAATATGGTATAATATTTGCAGCTGGGAGAACAGTGATTCCCCCCTCTCCAAAGTGAACCCTAAAGTTAGTCATTAACTCCTTCCCTTTGCCCCATCCTTTTTTAGTAAAGATGTTAGATACTGAATTTTGGGTTTTGCCCTTTTTCGATGCTATTCATTTAAAAATAACTTCTTAATTTTTTTTTCATTAAAAGTAGAATTTGAGCTCATTTGAACTTTGTGCTTGTTTTGATGGCTATTGATTCATGTGTAGTTCAGTAATTTTTTTTAATATAGTAAGCAGAGCTTGAAAATCAGTAGAGCACTAGAACTCAGTCCTAGGCTTTATTTACTAGTTCTGTTAACTTTTCAGTAGTTCAGTTACCATCTGTATAAATGGGAGTAATTGCACACAACCTCTTTGCTACAGTTTTTGAGGATATGTACTTAAACACTTCAGGAATGATAGTGGGAGAGTTGGGGGCAGGGGACTAATCTCTGCTGGTAGACCTTTGGGGTTTGGGGTGGAGACTGGAGAGGGGACACAAAGCACTTTGTTTCTGGTGGCTGATTACACAAGTGTATGAATTTTGTGAAAATCAATGACATTGTGCATTTATGGTACATGTGTTTCTGTATGTATGTTATACTTTAAAAGTTTGCTTTTTTTAAAAAATTAAAATGATAGTGGCAGTTCTAAAGTATAGCAGCATTGTTGTCATTGGGATGCAGCCTAGGGGCTGGTTTCAGATTCCTTGGTTCAGTTAGACATCCCCAGTATCTGGTACATGATGAGGTATGCCTCTTGTCTTGGCATTTGGCCCTGTTATTAGCTGTATAGTATTGTCTGTTGATTATATAACCAGCTGCTCAGTGCAAGGGCTATGGGCATTGGGTCACAGGTAGGGTATTGCTGGCCTGTCGCTGATACCTACAGATTGATGTCTGCTCAGGGCTCTTTCTTCCAATTTAGCTCTGAGTTCTCAGATGAGGGCCCCGGGAAAGCCTGTACTGATTCAATCTCGCCTCAGGATTTCTTTCACATAAGCTTTTTATCTTCATCTTATCCCATTACATGTTTTAATACAAAACAATGAGTCCCTGTAATCCATGAAAATCCTCCTTGAAAGAAAACTAGTGAATCTGTTTTGAAACACTGCTTCATTAAACCAGAAATCTCTGGAGTGACACTATGGGTTTTTGGTCTTTTTGTAGGAAATCATCAGTGCACTGCCATTCATCAAGCTTTCCTTAGATGACTTCCCAGACAACAAAGACATTCACAGTGACCTGCATGCCTATGTCCAGCACAGGGTCCACAGCAGCCAGGACATCCTCAGCAACATCTCTCTGAATGGCAAAGCTGATGCCGCCCTCATCGGCAAAGTGAGCAGCCACTTGGTGCTGCGGAGCCTTGGCTCCTACCTGTACTTGAAGCTCACCTTGGACCTCTTCCAGAGGGGACACTTGGTCATTAAAAGTGCCAGCTACAAGGTCGTGCCCGTGTCTCTGTCTGAGCTATACTTGCTGCAGTGCAACATGAAGTTCATGACCCAGTCTGCCTTTGAGAGAGCACTTCCGATTTTAAACGTGGCTCTCGCCTCTCTCCACCCCATGACGGACGAGCAGATTTTCCAAGCCATTAATGCTGGCCACGTTCAAGGAGAGCAGGGGTGGGAAGACTTTCAGCAGAGAATGGATGCCCTCTCCTGCTTCCTCATTAAGCGGCGAGACAGAACCCGCATGTTCTGCCACCCGTCCTTCAGGGAGTGGCTGGTGTGGAGAGCAGATGGTGAAAACACAGCCTTCCTGTGTGAGCCCAGGTATGACAGGCAGCTTTTTGTCAGCTGTCTTCAGAGCACCTTGATGAGGGATTGGGGAAGAGAGCTTGCAAATATGTGAGTCACATTTTTTCATGAAAAGGCAGCACAGGATGAATAATTTAGTTCTGCTACTCTTTTTCCTATTTTTCCCCTTCTTTGGTAAAAGGATGGGCAATGGGAAATTCTCTCTACTTCAGTACAAAAACACCTTTCTTTAATGGCTGGAATTTTAGAAATCCTCAGTAATTGGAATGGAAAAGAAGCAAGGCAGTGCCAAGTGACACATCTTTGCTGTCCACTTCCTTCTAGGCCCCTCACTGCACCCGTTTTTTATGGGGGTCAGATGTGGGACGTGCAGCATCAGCTGTGGGAGCAGCAGGATTCTCCAAGACCTATTTGTGGCTCTGTTTCTTCTTCTGTGGGTCTGTGGGCTGTCTTGGCTCCTCCACTCCTGCCCCTCCACCACTCCTGCCCCTCCACCACTCCCCCTCCACCTCTTGAGCATGTAGTACCTTGTCTGCAGATCCCCCAGACAGGGATCAGCTGTGTCCTTGGGCCCAGAGGGATAGTGATGATACAGTCTGGCTGCTTTATTTTGTATTTTGGTTCACCTCAGGGTAACAGACCTGAGATTTGGCAGTTGGAAATGTATGAGTTCCAATCTCAGATGCCCCATTTGTAAAATGGTGGTAGGACAGCTGCATCCAGAATGTCAGAGGTTATGCTTTGGATTTGCAGCGGCTCAGGCTGGGGCAAGATTCTCCTCACTAGGCAGTGCTATTTGTAAGGGGGTGGGGTGTGGGGTGTGTGTGTGTGTAAAAAACTGCTTATCATGCAGCCTAGTACTAGATACAAGGAGGGGTTGTTGTTGTTATGTGCCATCGGGTCGGACCCGACTCATGGCCACCCCTCCTTGGGTTTCCGAGGCAGTATCACTATGGAAGTAGATTGCACCATCTCCCTTCCGAGAAGGGCTGGTGGGTTTGAACCACCAGCCTTCTGGTTAGCAGTCAAGTGCCTTAGGCATGAGGAATGGGAGTTGCTGATATTTTCAAATTAAGGGTATGATTGAACCCTTTGTCTCTGCCCCTACTGGCCTTAGCCTGTGTATTTGCTGCCTTCAACAGCTACTGCTCTCTGTGGATCAGAATTGCTCCTACCCTTTAGCAGGGCCAGCAAACTGCTAAATCTGTTCCTTTGGACTGGCCACCTGACTAGATGATGAGATCCAGAAATAGAGGGGAATGAGCATTTGTCAGCCACACATCACCTTCCCCCCACCCCCCATGAATATCAACTCAATACCTGATAGATCACGACGCTGTTTCATGTTGTAGATATTGTCTTCTTAGTTACCACTGCGCAGTAGGACAAAGTTTGATAGAGATCTGGATTCAAATTTTGACTCCATCAGTTCTTGTATAGTTCCTGTGTGCAAATTTTATTAATTCTCCAAGCTTTAGTTCTCCTGTCGTAAAAAGAGAGTGTCTCCTCACTGAGTGATGATGGGCATTAAATAAGTGCTTGAGATGATTTCCTCCTTCCCTTACTCCTTCCCTCCCTACCTATTTTTGATGATAACTTAGATAACAATTCCACAAGTGGAATGAGGCACCAAAAGAGTATCTAAGTGCTCATTCATATCACCTAGACTTAAGGGCTTTTCACATTTTATAATATTTGCTGCATGTTATTTATTTTTTTTTTTGAAGTATGTTAAATTATAAACATCATGATATTTTACCCTAAATAATGATGTATCTCAAAAAAGGGCCATTTCTTAACCACAATACCATTTATTGCCACACCTAAAATATTAATAATAACTTATCAATATCATAAATATTTAGCTGTGCTCAAATTTTTCAGTACTTCGTAGTTTCAAAGTATTTTCAAATTGAGATCCAAGTAAGATCCCTAAAATATATTTAATTGTGTCTCTTAACCTATAGGTTCCCTCCCTCATTGTTGTTTGCTTTTTCTTACGGTATATTTGTTTTTAAGAAGTAACTGAGTAGTTTGTCTTACATCCTATAGTCTCATTTACACTGATTGCATCCTTATAGCATTTTTGAGTGTTACTCTGTCACCTTTATTTCCCACATAAATTGGTAGATAGTCTAGAGACTTGATCAGATCCAGATTTTATTGACTGACTGACTGGAATATTTACTTGGTGGTAGTGAGTAATTCCATCGTGAGGCCCATGTCTTGGTTGTCTTGTCTGTGATGTGGAAGCCATTGATGATTACTTCCTGGATCCATTGATTTGTGTGGGTGGTGTGCACATGTGCGCACACACACATTAAGCAGACCAAACCTGTTGCCATTGAATTGATTCTGACTCATGGTGACCCCATGTGTTACAGAGTAGAACAACTTCAAAGAATTTTCTTGGCTCTAATCTTAAGGAAGTAGATCATCAGGCCTTTCTTTCATGGCACCACTGGGGGAATTCTAACCTCCGAAGTATAGATTAGTATGTGAGTGCAAACCGTTTGCACTACATAGGGACCATAGACCCTCTCAATCTAGGATAATCTCCCATTCCTCCTTTCTGCATACCATTGACTTGAGGAATGAATGGACAAGATTTCAGTAGGTGGAGCAAGGCCATGGCAGATAGGAGGTTCTATCTATAGCATTGTTAGAAGTGAACAGGCCATGTTCTGATGACAACAACAAATCTAATTTGGAGCTTTTGCCATGGAAATAGAAAAGCAGCAAGAGCTAACAAAGTTGTGCTGGCAAGTGTGGCCTTTTAGCAGTCATCTCTGGAGAATTGAGAAGGTTCTGGAGCATAGAGTGTCTGTGTGGAGGGTGCAGTGTGTGGGGAGCATTGTAACACAGGAGTGAGGACTTGGATGTGAGGACAGTGGAATGGAAATGGGCCTTGCTGGCTGAGGTAGATAGGCATGGCTTGTCCTTGGGGACATGGGCAGGGAAGAAGAGGTGCAGATGACTTCAAGGTGTTAAGCTTCAGCAACTAGAAATGGCATTGCTCCTAGAAGGGGTAAGAAAGTCAGAGAGTGTGGGGAGGGTTTTTTAGGGAAGGAAATCCCTTCAGTTTTCAACAGTTTGAGCTTGAGGGGCAACACTTTCTCATAAGTGAGCAGTGACAGATGAGTCTAAAGACTGGAAGAGATGTTGGCAGTTGGAGAAAGATTTGGATTCATTGATGGAGAGTTGGTGGTAGGACTGTAGGGAAGCTAATGTAAAAGGAGAGAGCTGGGAGGTTGGAGCATGATTTTGGGAAAGGAAGTTAGGGATATAAATGCTGTCAAGAGGTGCATTGCCAAGAGGAAAATGAGGATTCAGAGGAAAACTGTTTTTTCATCGCAGGAGGGTTCTAGGTCTTTAGGAGATTTCTTCTGTTGAGTTGTGAGGAAAAAGAAGAGAGCACGAACATTGTGGGGTATAGTGGAAGGGTCAAGAGGATTTGGGGTTGAGTGTGGGGAGGTTCTCTGCTTTTTTGTTCTTAATAATGCAAGAGATTGAGAGATTGTTGGAGGTATCATTGAGACTGTGGGTAAACATGAAATCCATGAAAAAGGAGAAATTGGGAATGAGAACAGTTGGGACATGGCATTAAGTGAATCAAGTGGCTTGCCTCTTCCCATCGGCTATTGATAGCACTATTCGCATGTGTCTCCTCCAGTCCCTGAGAGCTCCTTAAGGGAAGTACCTGGGATTATTCCCCCACGGAATCTCCAGTGTCAAGTATGGGAATAGTTAAAAGGTAGATGTTGGGTGAATGAATGAATAAATGAACAAGGAATCCTGTTACACTGGTTAAGAGCACAAGTTCTCTCACATCAGGCAGACTGCATGTCAGATCTCTCATCCGTCATTTATCATCCCCTTGATCTTGAACAAATCACTTAACCTGTTCAAGCCTCCGTTTCCTCATATAAAGTAAGAATCATAATTCTTAGTGATTCAGTTAGGCTTTGGGTCTGGCAAATAACAAATGCTTAATATACATAAGCTTTAGAAAATGACCCATGAATACAAGTAGACTTAGAAGGAAGCACTTGGTCCCCTGAGACTGGGAGAGAAAGAAGAGCGGGTAGGTAGGCTGTAGAGGAGTGTGGGCAGTGGGGAATTATATGGTGAATTTTCTTCTCAGAGAGGTGGGAAACTGTGTGCTTAACTGAGAGCACTGGAAAACTTTTGACCTGCCACCAAGGGGTGTGGGGTCATCATACCATAAGGGCCAACCACAGTATTGAGCTTGATGGGACTATTGTGGATGCAGTTGCTGTGGCCCTGAAATTTGGAAGACTAAGAATACCTAAGCCTGTGATTGGGAGGGCAGCCTTGACTGGAGGGTTGGTCCAGGTCAGATTGGCCCCAGACTCTGCACAGGTAATTGGGGGCTGGAACACTGGAATGTGGAAGGTGGCAGAGAATGAGAGAGCAGAAGAAGGGGGTGGCAGTATGGGATGCTCTCATCTGAGAGTGGAAATCCTGAGCCTGTGGTGCTGTGGAATAGGAACTTTTTTGTTAAGAGCCTTTGTGTTTCTTATCTTAGGAATGGGCATGCTCTTCTGGCATTCATGTTCTCACGACAGGAGGGCAAGCTGAACCGCCAGCAGACCATGGAGCTTGGCCACCACATCCTCAAGGCACACATTTTCAAGGTGAGATGCATACTGGTAATCAGAAGAGTTTCTTTGTTAATTTGTTTTATTTTGGCTTAGAAAGGTTTTGAAAATTTTGTCAGCTATTGTTCCAGAAGCCCCCTTTGTATTCCATCCCAAACATTACCCCTCCCTTCTCCCTGAAAGTAACTACGATTTTGCCTTCTATCATAATCATTATTCTTGTATTTCTTTATATTTTATCAGTCAGTTGTGCACCTAAATGCTGTGGTTAAGTTTTACTTTTCCCCACCTTTAAATCTCCTTTAAGTCAACCTTCACATGTGCAGTTCAGCAACATTGTGTTTATTATATTGTTTAACCACCACCCTTATCCTTACTTATCCTTTAACAGAAATTCAATGTCCCTTAAGCATTGAGTCTCCCTTCCCTCTCCTCCTGCTACCCCGGTAACCACTAGTAAACTTTGTCTGCATGCGTTCATTTGTTCTAAATGATCTCATGTAAGTGGGGTCACATGATATTTGTCCTCTTGTGATTGACTTATTTCACTCAACATAGTGTTTCCAGGTTTCATCCATGTTGTAGCATGTGGCATGTACATATACTTCATTTCTCTTTCTAGCTGAGTAATTTATTATACACACGTACCTTACTTTGTTTATTCATTCATCTGTTGGTTGGCACTGGAGTTGTTGCTATGTTTTCCTATTGTGACTAATGTTGCAGTAAACATTGGTGTAAAAATAACTGTTTGAGACCTAGCTTTCAAGTCTCTTGGGCATATACTTAGGAGTGGAATTGCTGGATTATATAGTAATTGTGTTTTTTTTTTTTTTTTTTTTTTTTGTTATTGGATTATAGAACTTTTGTTTGTCTTTTTATCTTTAACGTTG